AAAAAAAAAAAAGTTCAGCTCTGATATTAATTTGCAGCAGCAGCAGAAACAAGTTAAGTTGTGTGCAAAGATTCCCCCAGCCATTATTTGAGAGAACACGCTGATGGGCAGTATACATAATGTATATACAGTATATATATCCCCCCCATGACCCTATTGAGGAATAAGCGGTATGGATGGATGGAGAAACAACCAGTCTGACCAAATGACCAGGCCTCATCTCCACTATCTTTTATCACTTTCACAACAATGTATTCATGTAAAAGGAAAATATTAGAGCTAAAAACAACTGTTAATTGACCAAACACATGCTGAATATGTTTAATGCTTTAATACAGGTTAGCTCTGAAATCTGTTCCCTTTGGCCCACTGCTATTAATGTTAGTCATTATACCATACAATGGTGAACTTAATGACGTTTAAGCCTTAAACAGTACAACACCCAGAAACCCAACAAGAAAAGGCAAGAGTGCTGAAAATAAGAAAAGACATTTCCACAGAAACAAGTTCAAGCTTGTGCTATGATCCGTTGTGATGCCTGATCTCACAAGTATTTTGTCATGTTTTTGTACAGTCCATTTAACGTGCAGTGAATAAGTGTTTGGTCTGGCTGGGTTTCCCTAAACCTGAATAACAACTGCGAAATGAGCTTTCTTCGCAGGGCGGCCGGGCGCGCCCTTAGAGATAGGGTGAGGAGCTCGGTCACCCGGGAGGAGCTCAGAGTAGAACCGCTGCTCCTCCACATCGAGAGGAGTCAGCTGAGGTGGCTCGGGCATCTGTTTCGGATGCCTCCTGGGCGCCTTCCTAGGGAGGTGTTCCGGGCATGTCCCACCGGAAGGAGGCCCTGGGGAAGACCCAGGACACGCTGGAGGGACTATGTCTCTCGGCTGGCCTGGGAACGCCTCGGCATTTCCCTGGAGGAGCTGGAGGAAGTGTCTGGAGAGAGGGAAGTCCGGGCATCTTTGCTTAGACTGCTGCCCCCGTGACCCGGTCCCGGATAAGCGGAGGAAAATTGATGGATGGATGAAGTATTTATACATTACTGCACTTTTATGGAATATTATGTTCACCACAGACTGACAGCTACTTGGTAACTTTTTCAAAAGCTGAGAATTATGAAAACAATCGTCATATTGTCCATTCAGGCCATAACCGAAACAAAATTTCAGCCTTTGTTCCTGTCTGCTACCCAAAAGGATGATTATTACTGAGAGATGTCTCACCCTGATCCTGGGACTCACAGGGGGAACTGCAGGAATCCAGAGACCACGCTGAAGTTTCAGGAGTCATCGTAAAGCCAGTAGCTGGCCGGCAGTCTGCGGTGGACCCGGTCTTCGTCCTACATCTGCAGAGCCATGATCATTCAGGTCCAGGTTGACTTGTATACCTTTTCAGGTAATCTGCAGCCCTGAAGCTGAAGAAGTAAACATCTCTGACAGGAGTGGTGAACACACCTGAAGGACCAACACACCAGCATGAATTCTTATGTGTGTCTATTGGAAACATTTAAAGGAATACGCCACCGAAAACATATCTTCTGTTTTCAGCATCTGTGTGGTCATTTTCAAATCTAGATTTTTGGGGCACCGCTGTGTTACCTGCAGTCTGGTTTTAGGCTTGGCTGATGTTGGTGATGGTTTTAGAGATCAGAGTTGTCTCTTTGTCAGATGGTCCGACTGATCCAGAGTCAGTCAAACTAGCTGAAAACGTCACCTTCAGCTCAGCTAGGTGAAACAAGCAGCATAGTGTTTTTAGGATAACAAGTTTCCATTAGACTTTACAAAGGTCTAATCCTGAACAAAGAACCTTTACAGCAGCTGTGTTACTACTCCAGTTTTTATGAATAGAGGGGAGGTCACATCAAATCAAAGAAACTTTAATTATCCCCGAAGGGCAACTAAGGAGGGAAAAATTAGACATACACTTATTCATCATGGCTTGTGATGAATAATGATGTCTTTTCATGCAAAATATATTGGAGAATTGAAATTAAATGTAGCAACTTTATTTTAGAGGTTTAGTGAAGGCAGACTGTTTTTGGGACAAGGAATATACAGAAATATAAGGACACAGGAGTTAATAATTACTTCTTTAGGGGTCCATGATATACAGTGGGAAATGATTGAACACAAATGTTCCTAACACTTCACCAGAAATGAATGGAGATGCAGCAGAGCACCGACTGGTCCTGGACGTCTTTTACATCACGCTGGTGTGATGGAGCTGGAGCAGCAGTGACTGAGCCGACGTTAACAGGTGCTGCTTCACTGCAGCTGTTCACACATCTTATGACAAAGGGGTGAAGTGCAGTTTATTTAGCAAGTTATTTCAGTTGGAGTTGTGTGTCTCCAAATGTTTCACAATTGAAAGAAGAGGTTTAATCTTTCACAGGAGGTGAGTCAGAAACAAGTTTATAATTCAAACATTGCTCAGAAACAAATGAGTCCTAAATATTCTTACACTTCAAATACATCGCGTTTTTATTTTGGGTGTCTGACAACATACTGCAGTCTCTACATACTGTGCTGTAATATAATGACTGTATAGTGTTTGTTGCAAAAAAACAGTAAACTGATGCGGTCTGAGAGCTTTACTGTCAAGTCAAACACATTACAGGATTACAACATATTGAAGCCAAAAGAAGGATCACCAAAAATACAATGACAAAAACAAACAAACCAATGGAATCAATGGGAAAAGACAAGCACAATTTTTGAATGGAGTAACAGTTGGGGTGGGCGTGGTCACGGAGTGTCAAATGCTAGCTCCGCTCGTGCCAGAGAATGCCTCTTTCAACTGTAGAGCATCTACAGCTTAACGCCTTTTCTTTTGACCACTCCACTTTTCTGAACAACCCTGCCTGAAGATGGATCTTATCAGGACAGAAACATCGCGAGTTAGGCTTGTTTTATTCTGAATGAGGCAGCGGCTCCAACCTGCCCAACAGAAAAACGTGAGGAGGGCTGGACGGTTCGGTTTAACTATGGCAGCATGATTCGGCGGAGCTACGCTGATTCAGGGACGCTCTGACGTTTATTTGGGTCTCTGACGGAACAGGGATGTTTTCTGAGGAAAGGAGAGGAACAACACTCTGCTGAGATGCCCGAAGGTAAGTCGGATCACCACAATTCTGTTAGCTAACAGCTAGCTGACGGGTTAGTTGAACAGATGTGTCTAAAATAAACCTTGAGAAAAGGGTCATTCATGTTATGGCGTGTTTCTACTAAGGCATGTTAGCACTGAATCTGTTGTGGTTTAGCCTCGCTTCCTGGTTTTCTGGTGTGTTTTTCCTCCCGTCCTTCCTGCCTCTTTCTCAGCCACAGTAATTAGCCGTCATTCCATCCACCTGCCGCTCATTACCTCTTGGTCTTGCTGCATATAAATACACATGTTTCCTGCTTGTTCCTCACTGGTTCATTCAGGCATACACGCTCTGAGTTCGCTCCATGATTGGTCCGTGTCCCCCAGTATTTTCAGTGTGGGTTTGTACTGTGCATTTTGTTGCTTTGTTTGTGTCCACTACTCTCTTGATGACCTCGTCATCAGTTTGTCCTGTGAGTTACATGACATTTTCTTGGCAGCTCTAGTTCTATATCTCCCGTCTAACCACCCTGTTCTCCAGTGTGGCATATTGACCTGCTGTTCTCTCTGTTGTCTACAGCACTGTCACCTGCTGCTACTGGTGTGCTCAGCTGTTATCCTGGTTTCCTGTATGGGAAGGTCATCAGCAACTCCCTGGTCCTCTGCCTACGTCCACTGTCCTCCTCCCAGTTACTACAGTGCCCTGGTTCTCTTCCACACTACCTGTCAGCCAAGGGAGCCTGCCTGTCCAGTCCCAAACCTGTTCAGTCTCAGTCTTGTCTAGTTCGCTCTCTGCCTGTTTCTCTGTCTCCTCTACCCAGTAACCATTCAACTCCTGTGGTTGGAGTCTGCATATTGGGGTCCATCAGTACCTGTAAGCTGGAGGAAAAAAAAAAACTTAGAAAAAAATCAGCTGGACTAGATTTCTGATGTTTCACCTCTCATCTAAGAGGCTTCATCAGTTCTGAGTCCTGACTGGTGTTAAGCCGGAGATATTTATCCCCCTCTGTGGTGTTTTAGTCCTTTGAAGGCCAACGATGTCCCTTAACGACTGAGTTGTTATATCCCAGTATTGGTGAGAGTCGTTACCTGTCTTTGAATCCTCCCCTGTCGACTGGCACCTATTGTCCTGGTGGGCATGTTTGGGCAGAGATCTCAAAACAGTGTTGTAGAGCACATCCCTTTTAGATAAGATTTGGGTAGGCAGGCGTTTAGTCTAGGGGGGAGTCTGGTAGAAGGGCGTGGGGACCTCAGACTAGCTGAGTAAATCTCCACCACCAGACATGATCTCCCGGGCGGTTACTATAGAATGCGT